TCTTTCTAGTCTTCATTCCTGTCCCTTTAAAAAGAAATTTTAAGAATGATTTAAATATACCCCCCCCAAAAAAAAAAAAAAAAAAAAAAAAAAAAAAAAAGCTGTGGAACTCCCTTCCTCAACCCTGACAGCTCATCTGAGAGATAAAAGTCTTTTAAAAGCCAGGCAATTCTAGTCACAAGGGCAAAGCACCAGACTTCTTAGTACAAGCTGAAAGGCACCTAAGCAAGGCCTCAGCAAACTGGTTCAACATGCAACATAAACGCCACACTGGAACAGGGGAAATTAATGTTTTGAAACTACACTGCTATCATTTCCCTTCAAGAAGAGCCAAAAATGAAGCACAGATTACTCAAAAGGGGAGGGGGAACCAGTCTGTGGTGGCACATACCTTTAATCCCAGCACTTGGGAGGCAGAGGCAGGCAGCTCTGTGAGTTTGAGGCCAGCCTGGTCTACAGAGAATTCCAGGACAGGCTCCAAAGTAACAGAGAAACCTTGTCTTGAAACACCCCCAAAAAAGGGGGGGAATTGAGGCGGACCCAGATCCACTATCTGTTTACTAACAAACTAGCCATTTGACAACAGGCTCTTTACACCACCTATGGAAATCTTTTGGTAACCAATCTTCACTAAAACCACAGACAAAAAATTCGTTAAAGAGCCTGGAAAGTAAGTAAAAATTGGAAACTGAATAATATAAATGTGTACAGCCCATTCCTGCAATTCCAGAGTTTAAGAAGTGAAAGAGAATCCAGAGGTTCAAGGTAGCCCTTGGCCACACGGTGTTGGAGGTCAGATTAAGCTATGTGAGACACTGTTTAACAACTTAGAAGAGGTTAGCAGGGAAAACAGGAACATTGTTTTGGATATTGGTAAGAAACCAGTTCCTGGCTGGGCGTTGATGGCTCACACCTTTAATCCCAGCACTCAGGAGGCAGAGGCAGGTGGATCTCTGTGAGTTCGAGGCCAGCCTGGTCTACAAAGCGAGCTCCAGGGCAGGCTCCAAACCAAAACAGAGAAACCCTGTCTTGAAAAACCAAAAATAAAAAAATAAAAACAAAGAAAAGAAAGAAAAAAGGAAAAGAAAAGAAACTATTCCTAGAACAAACGAAGCTGTGGTTTTTAATTTCTGTGGTGCCCCAGCACTACTACTACTGTTTATCTTTCAGATACACCTGTTGGGTTTACAGAGGAAAGGCCTCTTAGATTTGGTCCAGAGTATCCAACAAGTGGGTAATATAGAACTGGCCACAAGATGATAACGTTTGCACACAGGTAAAACATATGTGAGGCTTTAATACTCAATTTTTTTCCTCAGAGGGGGAAAAAATGTAACTCATGTATCCAAAAATCTTATCAAAGGTTCAGAAATTTGTGTTTCACTACACCACCCAGAATTCTGCTTATTTTTTTTCTATTCTCCTGGCCTGATTAACAGTGACTTTCAGGCAACTCTTTGAGAAGCACCTTTGCCTGCATTCTAGAAGCACAGCTCCCTGCTCTACAGCTCCCTCTCTGCTCTTTCCAATCTTAATGCCGGTACTTAAATCTATTTTAAAAATACAAACTTGTTCTTCACAAACTCAACTTTGCCACAAGAAACCCAAATCTTATTCTCCAAACCAGCTTACGTTTTTCCCACAGACTTAAAAGCGAAATACAAGGCTCACTATTTATTTCTACTCATCAGCTAGCCAACTGAGAAGTAAACCTAAGGGTATTATTCTAACTTACAGTCAATAACTTTAACTTCAAAAACATCGTCTGTGTGAGCCACGGCGATGAAATGCCACAGACGTGGTTTTGTCTTCAGTGTTTAAAAACCTCTGGTGTTTTAAACTAAGTTGAACGGCTACTGCGTAAAGACGAAAAGTTACAAACAGATGGTTGCTGGCTCCTAGGAAGTAAACTCGACCGAAAAGGGTGATAGGACTTCATCAAACGTGACACACAGACTGGCTCCCTAAATCTCCGCCTAAGCAACTCATCGATACACACTCCCTCCTCTAGAAAGGCTTTTTTTTTTTTTTAAGTTGTTAGAAAGAAGCGACCTCCTCCTTTATTAAAGGAAGAGAAAGGAAGCAGATAAACCTGCCGGGAGACAGG